AGTTGTGCAAAAAGCTCTAGATTCAAAAGCAGTTTGTGTAATAAAAAAAGCATTTATGATAGCATTATTTTCATTTGCTTTATATTTTTTTGATTGTATGTGGTGAGATAGATTGTAAACATGTAATCAGCAATATAGCAACAGCTTTGATTCTGTTTTCTTCATAAAATCAAAAGCTTCTAGCTATCCATAAAGTCTAATCATGGTTAGGATTAGGTTAGGTTTAAAGCAAATATAAAATAAGTCAAAGAAAAGCCATGAATCTAGGAAAAACTTGCCTTGACCTTTTTTCCCCTCCTTTGGTGAAAATGGGCATAAATTTGAAAACATGAAACTACTTCAAAGTGCCTATTTTGCATAATTAAACATGAGCCAAGAGGTTTTTTACACGGGTTGGGAAGGTTAAATGTTACAGTCATGTGATACAGAGAAGAATAATACTTTTGCTACCTTTCCAAGCGCATTATGTAGATAGTATACATTAAAATTATTACTTAACACAGTACGCAACTAATTAACATATTATTATGTCAACAAATTAAGATAAATTTTTAAGTCTTAACAGTATTAGTTTACATGAAAATAGTAGCATGGGGCGATACATATTCTTGGTTTTAAGTACCAAAAAAAACTTAATTTTGAGAGATTCATAGTATTTACCATCGACTCATAAAACACTAAGTACATAATGATGCTGACTTGTGGCATAATATCGAACCATACTGTTGAACCCTGTTGAAGATGATATATACGCAGCATAAAAAGATCAGAGAACTACTGCATCAATGGAGGGTCTCCCCATAATTTTACTTCAAATCAAATATGTAGTTGAAGATTAAGCACACCAACCCTTTTATCTAATTCAGTCGTTGAGTCTTTCTTTTGATAATTCAGAGGTCTCAAATGCAATCTTTTCTCACATTCCCTAAGCGCTAGTCACTCTGGTTTCTTGAGGGATATATTTTAATCCAATTCAAGTCACGGTGATCAACCGCTGAACTTAAGTAAATAGTCGGCACAAGACTAAACACTCTATAACAAAAAAAAAAAAAAAGATTAACCACACCAAAATCAGCCAACCCGACAATGATCGTTCAACTGCTTGATTCGATTAGTTTTTAACAAAATATGTCCGTCAAATACCTCGTGGGGCAAGGATCAAAGGCATAGTTAATAACCGACATCTCTATTTTTTTTATTTTTGGCCCACTTAATTTACACCATCATGTTTTGGCTGTTTTAAGTTTATATATTCATATTTTGTAGTTGTAGATTCAACCCTTACCGACTCCATGGCCTTTGCTTTGTCCGATCCGATAATATTCCTGGAATTTGGGTCCCCAATTTGTCTCTTCAACGACTCTTCCCGGAATCTATTGACATAAAATATCAAGTTTTTAGTCCATAAAACTACAAAGTGGATAATAAATTACGATTAATGCTAGACCGATCAAATTATGTGATAAAAAACAAAGCTCAAATAACGTGACAACGGTCATAATAGGTAAATCTTGAATATCAAATGAATAAAAACGAGACTAAAAGTATCATTATTTCATATTATTTAGTATGCTTTGTATCCCTATTTTTTGTCGGTCAAATATTACTTTAAAATTAATGTGTTATTTATAAAATTAATTAGAGTCGTTTTGTCATGAATTATTGCCGAAGATACTCAGGAGTCAGGACAACTCATCTCATGGTAGTAAAATGTGGAAGGATAGGATCAACCTTTGAAAATTGTTTTTAAATTATATACTATTTGCTAAATAAGTTTAATTTATGATTCTTACAGTCTACTATTCAACCTTTTTTTTTTCACTTTAATTAATAGAACCACCCTCAAATTTTTTTTCCAAAATTTCGTCTCCCTTGATCCAATTTCTAATCCTGCCCTGAATGAGATCCAAATCAAATTGCAAATGTGTGCAAGCTTAGGATCAATGCACTACATTATTAGTTTCCAAAGTCTATTTATTATTTTTGGGTTAATTGAATTGGAAGTCCCCAAAATATGAGATTTGTCTCATTTTGGTTCACAATATTTTAATTGTATCATTTTAGGTCGTAAAGTATTAAATATATTTTTATGTAGTCCCTCAAGCAGATAAAGTTCAGATTGCTAACGATTTTTTATTATAAATTTGTCATGTAATACCTAAATATGGGTAAAAAAATAAATTGGATAATTTTTGACCATATTTTTACCCAAATTTTGGTCAAAGAGCTATCCAAATTATACAATTTTGATCATAAACTATCCAAATTTTATGCAAAAAATACTCATATTACACATTTTTTGTCAAGGACTAACTAAATTTTAGTTAAGAACTATCAAAATTATTTTTTTTCCCATATTTATGTATCGCGTGACAAGTTTATGATAAAAAATCATTAGTAATTTGAATGTTGTCTACTTCAAGGACCACATAGAAACATATTCAATATTTCAAAGATCAAAATGATGAAATCAAAATATTATGGACCAAAATAAGATAAACTGTATATTTTGGGGACCTCTAGTGCAATTAACCCATTATTTTTTTGTGTAAACGGTGAGGAGTATTTGGACAAATTCACGCACATCTCGACTAATCTCTTTTTGAGTCTTGTCAAAGGCAAATCATCCACGTCGAAATTAGAATATTCATGAGAGACCTAATCTCAATGAATTATCAATATTCAAGTTTAAGATGTTTAGATTTATACATTACCTGTACAATCTTGGATTACTTACAAAGCCCATTTTTCCACGTTACAAATAGTTTCAAAAGTCTATTTCACCTCGTTACAAATAGAATAAGAAGTAGAACTATAAAGTTGGAAGTTTCTTCAAGAACTGCATTGCCCTTTAAGAATACGATATTGTGTAATGGTGCAAGAAAACCACACTTCTCTGCTCAGGATTCAAGATCAAGCAAGACAAGAGAGGCTACTTTCGGTTCTTTAATCCAGTAGGCTAATATGAACCAATCATATAGCAAAAGTAAGAGAACTTAGTTTTTGAATTTTTCCTTGTGCCACAGCGAGAAAGACCGTGTATAACTAATCATTTCTATATCTGCAATACGAATTTTTGTCGGATTGTCATTTTTTACCTCATGCCACTATGAATTGTAGTAACCATAAATCTCAAAAAGGTGGACACAACTTTAAAAGGTCTAGATAAATCACCCTCCAAGGTAATATTTGATGGGACCTAGCTGTTTCTTTTCTTTTTCCATGAGTTCCTCTCTCTTTCTGATCCACCTACTTTATAAACAGATCAATTGGCCTCATTTTGAAGATCTTCACATAGTCTCTCTTTCCCTCTACAGCCAATGCATATTCACTAAGCCCTTTCTCTTCTATTTGTCTCACTACTCCCAATAAACATGAAAACTATAGACCTCTTTTGTGCCTCTCCAGCGTCCACAGCCATATGCACAAGCATTGACCAACGTACCATTGTCCGCCATGCCACGAGGCCAATCGATCGCCACCGTCATCATCTTGATGATCGAAAAAAAACCCGAGCTCCTGTCCCCCGTTCATCTCAACCACCCTTTGATGCCAAGTTCCGTTATCAAAACAGTAGATTTCGTTCTGTTAAGAAAAGTGAATCACGTAGAAAAAGCTCAGCTGACATACTTGACCTCACCAGTCCTCCTGGTTCCTCTAGGTATCTCTTAAGCGACACACCCTTCATTGACTACTCGTCAAATTCTGATCAGGTCTCAGCATTGATTCCTAGCCAAGCTGTGACTGCTAGGCCCCAGAACTTGCGTTCAAATGGTTCTCTTGCTTCAAAATTTTCAACAAATGGATCAAATTATTATCCTTCTTTAACAACTTTGTCACCTCTCTCAAATGACTCTCCTGTTTTAAAATCTTCATCAACCCGCTCTCGCCCAAGAAATCAGGTTCTTCTCCATCCTTCTTCCTGTTCTCCTAAATTCGAAGACAATCAGACATGGTGTTTTCATAAATATATATAATATTTTATTGGATTTTGCAGGTTGTGGAATTGAGGGTATCTATTCATTGCAAGGGCTGTGAAGGAAAAGTGAGAAGGCATATCTCCAGAATGGAAGGCAAGTAATTTTTAGTACTTAACTTAGTTTGCTAGTCTTATAATAAAACTTTTTTCTTTGAATTATATGCTGATATTATCTACTTAAAGATTCTGCCAATTCTACTGTTTTTTTTTTTTTATATTGTCACAAGCTTAGATAGTTAAATGGGTTGTTAGCTAATAAGCAACACAAATACAACTTAATTAAACCATGGTTTTGGATGAATTTGTGCAGGAGTGACATCTTTTAATATAGATTTGGCCACAAAGAAAGTGACAATAGTAGGGGACGTGACCCCTTTAGGCGTGCTCGCAAGCGTCTCACGGGTGAAAAATGCAGAATTTTGGTCGTCTCCAACTTCATCATCTTCTTCATCTTCATCTCCAATGGCCGGCCTGATATACTAATGGCTTTTAAGAATATTTTTTTGAATTTCTATAAGCCTTGCAATGAACTAGTTTGAAACTCCGGGTAAGTGTGGGTTTGAAGGAATATATGTATTAATCGCTAATCTTGTCTAATATGTAATGTGTGTAAGTAGATTAAGGGTTAATACCATACAAACTTACAAAATTGACTCGTTTTTGACATATTAAATGTGTCAAATAACATGTGATATGTCAATGTGAGTGAGACTCATATCGTTGGTACGACACATCAACAAGTAACAATAACGAATCAATCTGGTAAGTTTGTATAACAATTCTTCATGTACAAATCGTAAGATGGGAACAACATCACAATGCAATCCAAAGTAAAAGAGGTGGTTTGGTTCTCATGCGCTATGTGCTCGTCATTTCTTGGAACAAACAACTGTTTGTGCCTTTTGGTTTTGGATGTTCCCCCGACCTTTCTTTAAATTTCAAAAACTTGCTTTCCTTGGCATGTTGTCTCTGAAATGTCCTCTTTATCTGCTTTCCATAAAATGCAGTATACAGTTGCAGGAAAATTGGAAAGCATTCACTGTCGTACACAAATTCAAAATAAGGAAGTTCTTTTATCAGAATAACGATTTTTCATCATTCTAAAGTTAATTAGGGTTAATTTCATTTTGTGAAGTCTGGCAGAACACAGGCGCATAATAAGAACCATTTGGGCATGGTTCAACTATACCATTTACCTTAGAATTTAACCTCGAAGTTAATGTAGATGGTTAGCTTGGCCACACAAAATTCACCATATCTGGGGCCGAGCTTCACCCTCTAAAGTTTGATCCAACCCCCTCTCACCCCTTCTTTGAAATTTAGAACACTGCCATCGGCTAAGCTGTGTTATGTCCCTTAGCATTTTCAAAAGTGAACTCTCGCCAAACTTTCTTCTTTCTTTGATTTTGAAAATCGCTTGCTTACAGAATTAAAATAATACAGCTCTTGCTTATTTTGAGAGCTTAATCAGATGGTTCATTTTTCATATCCGTACTTTTTGCAAGATCATAAAAGGCATTATTATAAATTGCAGAACCCACCTAATCCGATGATAGTTAAGGTACCAAGATGAATGAACTTTTTCGTTTTTTTTCGGATTGAGACATACCAACATGAAAGAACATTATCAGAAACATGGGTCAAACATCATCATGATCTCGTAGCATGAGCACCATACACATATATCCATTATGAGGTAGTGACAGGTACATGTACATGTACACCATAATAATGGCTGAATACTTAGATTGATTCTCCAATTCAAAATACAGAGATACATTCCTTGGCAAAAAATCTGTAATATATGTCACGTTGGCCAGTCCCAACTCTACTCATGGTTACATTTCTTTTCTGTGTGCTGTTGCACCCTCCCCAGGATGAAACACAATGATGACAGCAATGTATACTTTTGGTTGTAAGTCCATCCAAAATTTTCCAGAGGTGGGGCTAGTTCCTCTCCCTCTCTTTTGCTTTTGGGACTTTCTGAGCCCTCTAACAAACTGATAGGACAAAAGATAATTTAGAATATTAATCGGTGTAGAGACAAGCAAACCCAAATCTCATATGCATCCATGCTTTGGGTTCAGTTTTCAACTTTTGCTTTTCCTAATCTTTATTAGCATATTTGGTAGCTTTAATTTCTTTGACTAAAATCTTTGGACGGCTGAGAAAGAAAATACCCTGAAAAGTTGAATTTGATTCATCCATCATGGGATTTTATAATGTTTCGGGCATAAAATTTTTGACTTGGAGCGGCGCACCACCAGTAAATATGGGAATGGAAGAAGTCTTTTCACCTTTGAGGAGGTGTTTGGATTCTGAATGGTATTACACCTCACACAATTTTAGCTGTTAAACAGTTTTATCCAAACAAAGTCTTAAATAGTTTGAAATTATAGGTAAGTCAAGACCTCACTTCACAAAACTCGAGATAGTTTTGATCTTGTTTCTTGTCAGATGCATGCATTTGGAATGAAAGAATTACGTGTATTCGTGAAGATTAGTCGGACATTCTAGCATTAGTCAATTCCAATATTGAGGGATGTGTGCAAGGGTTTTAATCAACCAAACAGGTTAAGCAAAAAGGTGGATATGATTGACATGATTCGAAAGGTTAGCAAGGCCTAAAATGTTAATCATGCCCTATATTCATCCAAGCAATTTTTGTTTGGTTTCTCCACTTTATGAGACAGGATTCCAGATTTATTGTTGATACAGCTTAAATTTTGCATTATATACGAATGATTAGCCCACTCTAGAAATTTCTTAAAAAGGAGAAAATTTGATTTATTGTATTGGCTGCACAGCAATATAATTATTTTTTGGTTTTGGGGTTAAGGCTTAGACCGACTTACGAACACTTAAATTAATTTTTAAATTGATTTAATTAAAGACAGATCATTTATGTCGGATGATTAGTCTTAAAATATGTAGAGTTATTGTCATTATTGTTTGGTTAATTACCTTTTATTGGGAGTTAAATGTGATTGAATGGTAAAGTTTTAAGTTTTATGTGGGTTTTGTAGTTTGTTTTTATTTATAGGTAAAGGAGATCAAAAGAACTGCATTGGGAGCAAATACCTAGAGTAGGATGAAGTTGGAGCATTTGGAGCGAGGAAAAGAGCCAGAGCATAATGTTAGGTGTGTCTGGATGCAAATAAGGAACTGAAGGGGCTAGCCCTTATTATTACACTTGTTATGGTAATTAATGAGCTCATGTGAGGATGATAAGACATGGCACGTGACGAAGACATCAGCTACTCGGTTAAAAAGTCTTAGTCGAACTAACTAATGTGTTCGGTGAAGTAATATTGGAGCTCGGTTTGTTCCCAACCAAGATCATTAATATGTTCGGCGAGGCAACAAAATAGTTCGGTTTATACCAAACCCAGTTGATCAATCAGCTTGGCAAACATCGAAAGTGTTCGGCCCTTATTGTGTCCAAGCTGCTTGAAACGATTGATAGAAAGATAAAAATTCGCCTATAACTTAGGCATTCAGATAAACGAATCAACGAAATTGAAGATATCAAGAGGAATTGTTAGAGAAATATCAGCAATTTCTTAAATTGAAATGTATGATTGGAAGAAGGTGTGTCACCTTGAACCAAAAATCACAGAAATCTTAATGGGATAATGATCTATAAAAATCCAAAAGAATCAAGGTGAAAAGTACGTTGAACTCTCCTAGTCTTCTTGCAATTATCTCAGTTTCATTATTGACTTAAGCATCAGAGTACTTTCGATCGAAATACCTCGATTTTGGACAGTTTATTCGTTTTACAAAAAATAAAGACTGAGATATCAAGTTCATAAATATTTATTATCAGAAATATCAAATTCAAATGTTTAATGAGAGGTATCCTTAATTTTTACCAGGAACATAAAAGAAATTTATTGTTCGTTGAAGAAAAGAGGAAGAAACAAAGGAAACAACAAAGTTTGGTGCGTCCGGCTGTGGCTGGCTTAAATTGGGCGATAACTACTTGCGTCCGCATACGATCCCTTTTATATCTGTTGACTGCTATTTGATTTGTAATAGGTCTAGACTTCACCCTATGGCCTATAAATTCTTGGTTATACCCTAAATTGGGTTGTCTTCCAATTCCCCTTTCTTCTAGTTTTCTTGTAATTTTATCTATAGGTTGCTAAATGTATAATTAAAGTTAGGGGTGATACTTTTAATAAAGTGCGGTATATATTTGGATCCAATGTTTTTTAATGCATGATTATTCTTATTAATTGGTTTCTATGTTTTAGTAAAGTTTTTGTTCTACAAAATCTATTGATTTGTTGTATCATGTATATCAAATACTTTAGATTTTCTGCGAGTCAAATAAGTGGCTTCGTATGCTTGAATTAATTAGTTAGGTTTTCCATAAAAATAATTGATTTTTAGTTTGTCTTACAAAAATGTTTTAATTGTTGGAAAGCTTGATTCATAATCAACTTTAAGAATGATGAATGATTGTGATTTACAATTAAATACTTAAACTTTATTCAAATAATTTATCAATTATACTTTTGGACTTGTTTTCAATATAATCACCGATAAATTCTTGATTAAGGTCAGTCCAACTGATCCTTTTGAGTTCAACAATCGGATCAAAATATATACTGTGAGGGTTGGATATCTAATTATAGCCCTATCCGAAGATACATGCATATATAGGTATAATTTTGTTAAAATATTTGAGGGTGAGCCGCCATGAACAAGTCTATGTACTGCTTGAGATAACAGTTGAATTTCGATTTAAGAATTTATATATTAAGCGGCAACGGGAGCTGGATTTTCATCCTTAGAATGCTCATCATNGTATTTCGATTTAAGAATTTATCTATTAAGCGGCAACGGGAGCTGGATTTTCATCCTTAGAATGCTCATCATCATCCTCACACGAAATATCATCNGAATTTCGATTTAAGAATTTATATATTAAGCGGCAACAGGAGCTGGATTTTCATCCTTAGAATGCTCATCATCATCCTCACACGAAATATCATCTGGATATGCATCAGAAGTTTTTGGAGCATGTCCGTCCCAATATAGAACCTTTGACCTGCAAACTATAATAATGATTATAGTGGTATATCGATTAAAGA